AAGTAAGGGTGGAGGTACGGGAGAAGGTGATAGAAGCAGGGGGGCGGAAAAGATAGAGTAGAGCAGAGTAAGGTTAGGAAGAGAGAAAGAGGGTCACGTGGTAGGAGAAGTGAAGAACCGGGAGCGTGAGATAGGTAGAGCGGCGACATACGGTAGGGCAGAGAGAAAGGAATATAGAAGTTAGGTAGAGAGGCGAGCACAGGGATAGAGGCAGAGGCAGAAGAGGAGGGGGAATAAGCACTGACAATAGAGGAGGTAGAGAGGCGACAGAAATAGAGGATTAGATCAGGAAAAATAGCAAGGAAGAAGAGATGGAGGATAAGACAAAAAAGGAATTATTGAAGACGGGGGAGGTGAGAAGGGGGAGCACGGGGAGTTTAGATGAGATGTGGAAAAGAAAAAGGGAAGTGATAGAGAGAGAGGCAGGGGAAAAAGGGGGTGAAGATGTAGGGGAGGGCAGGAAAGGGAAAAGGGTTCAAAGGTCACCGGTGAGGGGTTTGGAAGGGGGGGGGAGAGATGGAATGGTGGAGGGAAATGAAAGAGGAATGGGAAAAGGAGTTAAAGGAAGGGTTAAAGGGGGTGAAGGAGGAAATGAGGAAAGAAATGCAGAAAGATAGGGAGATGATAGGGGAGATGTTAAGGGGGTACATGAAAGACCTAAAAGAGGAAATAGATGGGATAGTGAGGAGACAGATGGAGGAAATGGAAAAGTGCAAATAAATGGTATTTGGTGGAAATGGAATGAAGGAGAGGAAGAGTTAAGGATGGGGAGGGAAGAGGGTGGAAAAATCAGGGGGAAGAATAAGAGTGGGAGAGGACAGGGAGGGAGGAAAGATAGTGGGAGAGGAAGAGGAAGGTGAGAGGGGAGGAGAGGGAGGGGGAGGAAAAGAGAGGGGGGAAGGGAAGGTATAGGGTGGGTTTTTGGAATGTAGCGGGGCTGAAGAATAAGGATAGAGATTTTTGGGAGGGTCTGAAAGGGTAGGATATTATGATATTGTGCGAAACGTGGGTGGATAATAAAAGCTGGGAGAGGGTAAGGGGTAAGATGCCGAGGGGATATGTATGGGAAATGCAGGGAATGGGCCGGAAGAAAGAATAAGAAAGGAAGGGCGATGGGTGGAATGATTTTGGGAGTAAGGGTAGGATTAAAGGTGGAGAAGAAAAGGCAGAGGAGAAATAAGGAAGGGTTAATGACATGTAAGGTATGGTTAGGGGAATGGTGGAGGATAGTGGGGGTATATGTGAATAGAGATATAGAGAGGAAATTAGAGGAGTTAAAAGAGTGGATGGAAGAAAGAGAGGAGGGAGTGGATATTGACCACGGTCCCGATTGACCACGTTTATATTGACAACGGTCCCGATTGAAAAACCATGTAACACACACACACACACACACATACGGAGTGGTGCAAGGGGGGCCTTCGCGCCCCCCCCCCTCCCGCGCCCCCTCCGCCAGTCGGGCACAATGGACCTCGCTTTACAACTTGCAAAGTACATGCCCTAGTAACGACATGTATTGGTCCATGGTCAATCGGGACCGTGGTCAATATTAACGTGGTCAATATTAACGTGGTCAATATTAACGTGGTCAATATCAACGTGGTCAATCGGGACCGTGGTCAATATCAACATGGTCAAACGGGACGCTCCCGGGCCTGTTGCATAGCCAGCACGATCTCCTGACATTACTTATCCTGTGTATGTTATGGGGTTATTTGAAAAACGTTGCATACGAACGAACACTAACCACTAGAGAAGACATGATGGAAAGAATTACAATTGCTTGCAGAAACATACCACGAACTGTATTATTGAAAACTATCGACCATTTTCATCGAAAGATACAATTATGCATTCAAGAAAATGGAAACGTTTTTGAGCATTTGTTGTAAAAATGTTTCTGACAACTCGTGAGAAACAAAAGGACTCACGTGAATCAAGCACCCCGAATCGTGAGAGGCAAGGGGACTCACGTTAATCAAGCACCCCAAAGAAAATAGAATTCTACTACGTCCACGTCGTTGTTCCTGGATAGCACTAAAAGTAGGATGATCCGAATTTTTTGAAACATGCATAACTACACACATGTGGATGAAAAGTTGATTTGATCTTGGAATGATCTCTAAGGATCAACTTGTCCCCATAACATGACAACATACAAGATATTTTGTATTTTATGTAAAAATATTGCAACTTTGAAATCTTATAACTCGGAAAGTACATTTAAAAAAAACACTTTATCATAGTGTTTTGGAAAGCTCTCAAGATGGGTTATCATGTGGCCCCCTCGAAACCATATAACTTTTGTCTAAAACATTTTTGTCTTAAACTTCTAAATTTTAAGATATTAAGATTATATGTATACAGGGTGGTCCTCGTAACGCTCGCCACGATTTTTAAGGCGCTTACAATAATCTGACACTAAAAAGTCATAAACAGAAATTTATCAGTTTCTAACCGGCAACAAATTGCAATAATAAAAATTGACCAAACATTTTTTTTCCCATAAAAAAGCAAGGTCACCTTCAATTTTTTAAATGGAACTGCCTACTTTTTATTGCACATTTTTGTAGCTTATCTCGAGAGCTTTTCAAAACACTATAATAAAGTATTTTTTCATTAAGTACTTTTTGAGTTATTTTATATTTTAATCTGACATATTTTGATATAAAAAATAAAATATCTCGTAAAATATTTAGTTTTCGATAATCTTACCGTAATACTTTTATGTACAGAATAATGAGACAAATCAATTAGT